GGTGAAATATTTCGGAAAAGGATAGCAAGAATAGTGGCACATCATGAAAAATATAATTAATGTCATGTGGAAGCTGTTGTATTGGCAAACGTTTTGGTGTGTATATTTTTACCACAATAAAAATACAGTGAAAACTGGGAGAGCCAGGACTCGACGGGGCTGCCTTGTTTTTCCAGATCTTGCAAGGTTTCTGCCTTTGACAGGATGCAGTCCTACCACTTTTCTGTCGCTCTCTGTTAATGGAAAATATTTGAGTTTTCCTTCTCTGCTGGGTTTCTGCTTTATACAGTTTCTGGCTTTCACAGGTTTTACTGTGTATATTCAAGGAAGAGTTCTAACCACTGTGCAACCAGAGGTCTGGAAAGGACGGAGTAGTGAGCAAATTGTGACCCAGAGAGAACAAGTTTAGGGACGGGTGTTAGGAAAGCGTGCTCACTCTGCCATTAGATTTTCTCTATGAAATGTCTACTTCTCTTCAGGTTTTGGGCAAGATCTCCTTGGAGGTGGCTGGAGAGCTCTGCCGAGGCTCAGCCATTCTGAACCTGGGCTAGGAGTGAGGCTGCGAGTCTCAGATGCTCTGTTGGGAAAGATGTTAGTATTCATTCCTGGGACAAACCCAACATTTTTCCCAAAAAAGACCTGTGGTAGGGATCACAGGCATTCAGTTGAGAGTCCACAACCTGCCGCCAGGATCATAGAAAACTGGGACCATTTAGCACCTGGCTTAGTCTTGCTCAAACCCTCTCCCCTTTCCTGGCTAGAAATGGAACAACCTCTACCCTTCTCCTTGCAGCAACCTGTGAAGCCAGTGCTGGGCCCAAGCACCTCACAAGCCTCAGTTTTCTCATCTGTCCAGGGGGACAATAATAACTGCTTTACCTCCCAGGCCAGGTTGAGTAGGGTAGATGACTAAGCAGTTGTTTGACTAAGCAATTCACTGGCTCATTTCCTACCCCTACCTCATCCCAGAAATGTTTGAAGCCACTATTGTCATCTGAGCGGCCATTGTGTGACCCGCATGTTCGCGACCCACCTTCACTTCCTTCACGCCAGGAAACCTCGCTCCCTCAGGTGCCTTGAGCTCCAGGTACTGTAATCCCCCGCTATCCTCCCCTCGGCCCCCTACCTTTCTTGGCCACTGGAGAAAGTCTTTGGCGTGCGAATATGGAAGGCGGGGCTTTTATGGGCTCGTAGGACCTTTATTTGGTTGTTTTCCTTGGTATAAAAAGAAAACTTGTTTTGAAGAAGGGCAAGGTGCAGCTTCCCGACAGACAGACACCTGCTAGATACTGCTGCAGCCACAGAGGGGGCGGGGGGCGGGCGGCGGGCGAGGCTGCAAGAGGAGCTGTTGTTTTTCCTGTTGCTAGTAAAAAGGAAACAAAGTGGGAAGTGGGGTGTGCGGCTGTCAGCAGGCGGGGCGCCCTTGCCAGCCCCGCCCCCCTCCCTCGAGGCTCACTGACGCCCAGCACCCTGGCTCCAAGCGGCAGCGGGCCAAGCCGCAACCCCGACAGCGCGCCGGGACCGGTAAGCGCTCGCCTTTGGCTGCGTCTGGGGAGGTGGGGAAGGGGGATCTGGGCTGCGGGATTCGGGGATCTGGCTCGCGGGCGTGTCCCCGAGCCCAGTGGCTGGCGGCGCGCAGAGCCCTGTGCGCCCTCCGTGCTACTAGCGACCCCGACGAAGGATGCGCCCTGGGCCGGGGCGCCGGGACTGGGGCTGGGACTGTGCTCGGGACCACGGGCCGCTCCTCGTGCGCCCTCCGTGCCTCCGGGCGAGGGGCCAACCTGGGACTAGGGGCCACCCCGGCCCGACTGGGAGCCCGCCTGCGGTGCAGCTCCCGGTGAGCCCGCCCAGGCCAGGAAAGCTCGGAGCCGCGTGCGCCCTGGACCAGCGCGCCTACCCCGAGCCCTGGCGGGCGGGACCGTGAGGCCCTGGCGGGGCGCGGGGTCCGGGCTGCGTTCCCTGCAGCGGGGCCGCTCCGGTTCTCCCGCCGAGGCCTGGGTGTAGTGGGGGAGGAAGGTGGAACGGGCGCGCACAGCTCCCCTGCGCCCGGCCCTGCGCGCCCTCCCCGTGCCCGGCTGCAAGGTGGCCGGGGTCGAGATTCCCGGGCATCCCAGCCGGCGCGCGGCTTGCAGCCCTGGCCCCTTCTCTGTCCCCGCCTGGGCGTCCCTCGGGGGCGGCGCTGTCACCGCGTGTTCACTTCAGCGGCCCAGGCGACACCAGCCCCGGATCTGCGGCTGAGCCTGGGTTAAGGCGGCAAAACCGCCTCCAGCTTTGCATTTCCGGACTTTTTTTTTTTTTTTTTTTTTTTAATATTCTTGTCTCTAATTCAACCTGAATGAAGCTTTCTTTTCTTTTAAATCGAATTTCCTGTTTTTATTTAAGCTTCCTCTTCCCCGCCGCCTTCTTTGAAATCGAGGAGAGGGGAACAGGGATAACGTTGGGTGGGGGCCAGGGTGAGAGCGCTGCGCTGCGCTCCGCCCGGGCGGGGAGATGAAGGTCCACAGAGTCAGGAAAGAACTGCAGCGAGGCCCCGAAAGGCGCGTCCCTGAGGGGAAGGGGCGTCCTGCGTGCTCGGTCCTCGCGCGGCACCCTTGGGTGCCCCGTTTTCGGTTGGAGCGCTTGGGCCCTCAGTCGATTGAGCGGCGTGCATCTCGTTCACCTGCTCCTTGGAAGGAGGGAGCTGCAGGTCTTGGATTCCTCCGGACTCTGTAAAGCAGGGCTTCTTCACCCGGGGTCCTGCTGGGCTGCACACTCTGACGTGTTGTGTTGTGCACAGTCGTTCAGGATTCCTCTAAGGGAAGGGTCACTGCTCCCAAGAGACTTTGAAACCCAGGCTAATCCTGCTGCTGGCGTCCAGTTCCTGGACACCTGAGGTGCCTTGGTGTTCTTGTCAATTAAATGGGACCATAGAGACTTTCTTCTCAAATAATGGATCGATTTTACATACTTGGTTTCGGTTACGCAGCGGGAGGAGCTAAGTGATATGTCGCTATTTTAGAGTTGAGGAACCTAAGGCTCAGAGAAGTTGTCACTAGCCAGACGCATGCAATGTCTGAGTAGCCGATCCAGGATTTGAATCCCAGCTCTTTCAGACGCCAGCGGTAATCCAGTTTACCTCCTTCTGAGTCCCTCTCTTCCCATGCCCTCTGCTCATGTCTATAGAGTGCTGGCCACGCTGAGAACGTAGATATTTCGGGAATTACGGCAGGTGTTCCAGAGGCGCCCCTGGCCATATTGATTTCCCCTTGAGCAGGACAAGTTGTGTTTCTGCAGCCTCCATCCCATGCCCAGCAAAGGCTCCTAGTGCACCTCTTTGCCTTATGCTGTGGGTTCCAGCCCTTTCTGTTGCTTTCCTACATTTAGAAAGTATTCACTGAGCTCCCACTTGGAGGCCAGGGGCTGGGCTGAGAACAAGGCAGGCAGACAGGGAGGGTGCCCGCGACAGAGAGTGTGCATAGAACACAGACAAATCACAAATCTTCAGAGACCAGCCTCCAGGGACCCCTTACTGTTATGTAGAGGGAGTTCACAGCGGTGGGGTGTAGAGGGTGAGCTTGGGGATGGGAGGGGCCAGTTCCTGCTTCCCCGCATTTTTCTTCAATTGCAGAGTTAGAGGGAGAAGTGAATGTGCAACTTATGAAGCAATTCCCCTTTGGCTGGGCTGTTTTTCAAAACCCTTTTTGTTTAGACAGCAGTTCCCTACCTTGAGGCCAGCTGCCTCTGTGGGTCTGGTGGTGAGGTTTGGGGCCCTACCACATGTTTTCTTAGCGTGGGACCTTAGAAAAACTCTTTCAGCCAGGAGGGATGCTTCAGCCACTCCCCCAGTGACCAACATGTTTCCCAGCAAAGCTGTTGGAGGGAAAGATTCAGAAGGGAAGTGCTGGAGGAGGGTCGCTGGGCAGTGCCTGGTCAGATGGATCCCATGGAGGGTGGTGATTGTCAACTGACCGCAGAATGGCCGGAGTCTGGCTTGTTTGGGAGTGGAGGGAGACACTGTCATCATTGCGCTAATGATAGCTGTTACAGGCTGAATTATGTCCCCCCAAAATATGTGTTGTAAATCCTAACCTCTTTGCCTGTGGTTTGGAGCCCTGGTGGCCCAGTGCTTAAGAGCTTGGCTGCAAACCAAAAGGTCAGCAGTTGGAATCCACCAGCCGCTCCTTAGAAACCCTGCAGGGCAGTTCTACTCTGTCTGTAGGGTCGCTATGAGTCAGAACCGACTCAACAGCAATGGGTTTATGCCTGTGGTTATAATCCCATTTGGAAGTGTGTGGTCTTTGTTATGTTAATGAGGCAGGATTACTGTAGGATGTGTCTTGAGTTAATCTCTTTTGAGATATAAAAGAGATTAAACAAGCGAGCAGAGGAGACATGGGGTAAAATAGATGCCAAGACATATGGAGATCTCCAAGGAACCAGGAAGCAGAAACTGAAAGACAAGGTCCTTCCTCTAGAGTCAACAGAGAGAGAAAGTCTTCCCCTAGAGCCAGTGCTCTGAATTTGGAGTTCTAGCCTCCTAGACTGTGAGAAAATATATTCCTATTTGTTAAAGCCATCCACTTGTGCAACAGTGTTTCGTAAGTGACAAAGGTTGCAAAACTCCACCTCTGTCCCTGCAGTTAACACTAAAACGGAATTTTATTTCATTTGGTTAACGGAAATCCCCCGTTATCATATCAGAAATGCTGCCAGTTTCAAGGTGGAAACCCCCCCCCCCCCCCCCGCCGGGAACCTCCCTCCTCATCCTTTCTTTCTTTGCAGCCAAACACTTTAACTTTCTGGGTGTTACACTCAAGTAGGACCTGCCCTCTGCTCCCTGGGCCCGCAGAGTCCCCGGTGCCCAGGGTTAGCTGCAGTGAAAGTTCTCCTTCCGCCTGTACTGCTGGGTGAGCAGGTGAGCCACCTCCCTGCCCAGGTGCCTAGGACAGGGCTCGGGGCTGGACCTGCCAGCGGTGCTTCCCAAGGCTGCCTCCTTGGTGAGCAGAGGTGAGGGAGGGATGGGTGTGGAGTTTCTAAAGTGGTATTTCCGTTAGCTTCTCACATTGAGGGGATTGCTTCCACTTAGGAAAGACGCTAGCAGAGTGACAGCTGGGGTGGGGGTGAATAGAAGGAGGTTCCGCAGAAAGGGAGGAGCTGAGCTGCCCTGTTGGGATTTTGTGTCCTGGAAGGGGGGCGTATCTGTTTCCTGGGGCTGCTGTGACAAAGTGCCACAAACTAGGTGAGTTGCAACAACAGAGACGTATTCTCTTATGGTTCTGGAAGGCAGAAGTCCAAAATCAAGATGTCGGCAGGGCCATGCTCCCTCCGCAGGCTCTACGAGGATGGAAGGGTCCTTCCTTGTCTCTTCCAGCTTCTGGTGGCTCCAGGCGTTCCTGGACTCATGGCAGCATCTTCATCTGGCCGTCTCTTCTGTGTCTTCTGTCTCTTCTAAGGACACTGGTCATTGGATTTAGGGCCCACTCGGATAATCCAGGATGATCTCCTTTGGAGATCCTTAACTTAATGGCTCTACCAAGACCCTGTTGCCAGAGGTCCCGTTCACAGGTTCTGGGGGTTAGGGCGTGGACATATCCTTGGGAGGAGGCACCATTCAACCCACAGCAAATGGACAGGAATATGCTTCTTTCCTTATTTTATGGGAAAGTGCTGGGCCCCGATGTCTTTGCAGGGAAGTCAAGCTCGCCCTTCATCAGGGCTTGTTCTGCCACTTTCCCCTGGGGACCTGAGAGAAGGATTTCAGAGTCCCCAGGGGTCTCTGCTGTCCCAGTGTCCCTTGTGCAGCATTGCATCGGGGTGACTGTTCCACTCTCTACATCCAGATGCTCCTTACTGCAGTTTGGGAAACTGAGGCAGCCACGTGAGTTGGGTACTTAACCTCCTGTTTCCCCTGCTTTGTGGGCCATCAGCTGCAATCATTACAGCTCCCCCACATCTCCCCTCTGGGATCCAGAGCTGAAGGAGCGACCTGCAGGGTAAGTTCTTCTTCCTCTCAGAGAACTGCCCAGGCTCCTCCTCCTCTTCCCTTTCTCTTCCTGACCCTGCCCTGCCTCTCCCCGACCCCTTCCTCTTTCAGGACTCCTCCCCAGCCTCTGTCTGAGGCCTCACAGCCCCTCACATTTCCTCTGAGCCCCTAGGAGAGGTAGGGGCAGGACTTCATTTGCTGGTGGGGCCATGGCCATAATTGTCTCGCTGAACTCGGACGCTTCCCTGGGATGGGGCTAGTGGTGGTGAGAGGGCTTTTGGGAACCCTCCAGTCGTGGAAACCTCTAGGAGTCTATCTCTGAGCCCTCGACTGCGGAGGCGCTGGTGGGGGAGGTTGCTCCAGGCCTCTCCTCTCCTGCCTCATTCTGGCAGTGAGGGCATTGCTTTGCTTTGGTTGTGAAATCTGGGAGAGGCGCTTTCTTATCAATAGGGAAGCAAGATCATCGCCCTGTGAATTGAAAAGTCTGTTTGTGTAGGGCAGGGTGGAACGGGGCAGGGTGGGGTGAAGCGCAGGTGGTGATGGGGGGATTGCCACATGGTGGAAAAGCACCGTCTTTGGAGCCAGCCCAGACTGGGTTTTAATCTCAACCACTTTTTATCTGCGGGGTGACCTTGGGCACATCCCTTAGCCCTTCTGGGCCTGAGTCCCCACCTGTGGTATCAGAATAACAATCCCTACCCCATTAGTCTTTGGGAGTTCATGTATGACCAAGTGTAAGGGGCCAGGCACAAAGCAGTACACACAGTGCCTGCAAAGGAGCTGGTATAGACTAGGCGCCCCGTAAGTGGCTTGTTATTATCCCACTATACCAACACAGCCGCTGCCCATTTGGGTACGCTTTCTCTTTTTTACAGGCATTTTTAATATAGTTGTAATTAGTAGCATGCATGCTTGTGGTTTGCTTTTTTCACTTAACGTTGATTCATTAGCATTTTTCCATGTTGCTTCATAACCTAGTCATACTTTTCAGTGGCAGTATAAAATCAAGCCCATTGCCATCGGGATCCAACTCATGGTGACCCCATGTGCTACAGGGTAGAACTGCTCCATAGGGTTTTCTTAGCTGTAATCTTTAGGAAAGCAACTTGCCAGGTCTTTCTTCCATGGCACCCTGGGTGGGTTCAAACCTCCAACCTTTAGGTTGGTAGTCAAATGCAACCTGTTTGCACCACTCAGGGACCACAGTGGCAGTAGTATTAAAAAAACAACAACAACAAAAAAAGAACTGACTCATAGTGACCCTGTAGGACAGAGTAGGACTGCCCCAGAGGGTTTCCAAGGAGCGGCTGGGGGATTCGAACTGCCGACCTTTTGGTTAGCAGTCCAGCACTTAACCATTGCACCACCAGGGCTCCTTGGCAGTAGTATAAGTGTCCTAAAATAGGGGTACCATCATTTTCTCAAGCTTCCTCCACTGTGGGACGTTTATGTTGCTTACACACACACAACTCTTAAAACACTGTAATTGATATTTGAGGCATATGGCTCTTCCTGTGCTCAGGAATTACTGCATCAGTCATTGAACATTTTGATGGCTCTTGAAGCTAACTGGTGTTCCAGAAAGACTGGACCAGTTTACCATCTGCTGTCATTTGGACACCTAGTGATATATAATGGTTTTATGACACTCTTGCCAGCATTGAATCATATTGAAAGAAATGTTTTACTAATAGGCCCAAATGGTAATATCTTAAATTTGTTTCTTTTATTGCTAGTGAGGTTAAGTATCTTTCTTTCTGATTGCTAGCTGTATGTATAGCATAAAGTTTGCTGCAGTTCTATGCAACAGTTATATGATTGGACTCTGGAGTTGGATGGATTCAGATTCCAACCCTAGCTTCCCCACTCCCCAGCTGTGTAACGTTGAGTAGGGTGCTTAACTTCTCTGATTCTCAGTGTCCTTGCCTATAAAATGAAGCTAATAGGACCTATTCCTAGGGTTTTCTTAAGGATTTGATGAGGTAAATTCGACAATAATGTCACCTAGCACATAGTTAATTTTCAGTAAATATTAGCTTTACAGTTGCATAACCTCTTTTTTTATTAGCTTTTATAAATTTTCAATAAATTATTACCATTATTTTAATGCTAACACCCTGAAGATTCATTGTGTTTCAACAAGGAGAAATGCTTCATACTTGGCTAATGGGATTTGGGTTAAGCACAAAGATAGATTTGTCTGTCACAAAGGTAGATATTTCTAGAAGGTGAACTGATAACCCTTCTTTGCAGAAAGGCACCACTTACTTGGCTGTCTGGCTTGACTTGGGTATGAGCCTCCCGGGGGAAAGGAAAAGAACCCATGACTTGGAGAAGCTGACCTCCCTGCGCAGATAAAGAGGGGCTGTGATGAGCTGCAGGGAATCCTGTTTCTCCAGAACCCTGGCTTCCTGGCTGCCTGCAGTACTGCAGTCTCTGCAGTGTGGAAATGGGGGGTAAAGACTTACTTTATCAGGAGGAACCAGTCCCTGGAGAAGGACATCATGCTTGGTAGAGTAGAGGGTCAGCGAAAAAGAGGAAGACCCTCAATGCGATGGATTGACACAGTGGCTGCAACAAGGGGCTCAAACAGAGCAACGATTGTGAGGATGACGCAAGACTGGGCAACGTTTCATTCTGTCGTACGCAGGGTTGCTCTGAGTCGGAACCAACTCTAGGGCACCTAACAACAACAATAAAACCAAAAAAAAAACCCCAAACGAACCAAACCCATTGCTGTCGAGTTGATTCCGACTCATAGCGACCCTATAGGACAAAGTAGAACTGCCCCATAGGGTTTCCAAAGAGCAGCCAGTGGATTTGAACTGCTGACCTTTTGGTTAGCAGCCAAGCTCTTAACCACTTCGCCAACAACAACAATAACAATGGTTAATTTCAAGTCCAGAATTCATCATGGTGACTTTTCTACTCTCTACATCCAGATGCTCCTTAATGCAGTTTGGAAATCTGAGGCAGCTCTATGGATGCCCCAAAGATTTTAGGGACAGGACCACAGGGGTGTTGGCACCAGCTTCATCTACTGCCCTTGACACCTGCTTTTGCAGCCTTCGTGCAAATGATTAAGCTCTATACTACTAGCTGAAAGGTTGGCTGTTCAAACCCACCCAGAGGTGCTTGGAAGATAGGCCTGGTGATCTGCTTCTAAAAGGTCACAACCTTGAAAACCCTGTGAAGCAGTTCTACTCTGCACACATGGGGTCACCATGAGTCAGAATCGACTCGACGGCAACTGGTAACGGAGTCAAGTGGCCTCCACTTTCATCTCGAGTGGTCCTTAAGCAGTCTTAAGTGAAGGAGCGTAAGTCAAGCACACTGGTGGTGCTTAATGCATGCATTTTCCCCTTTACTGTTGGCCTGGTATGTCTGAGAAGGAAGTTAATAGACCCAGGATCTCCGTCTCAAATAATCTGCTTCATGAGACATTTCTTCTAGGGGAAAAAACACCAAAACACCACCGTTTCCCCTCACCCATCCCTCAGAAAATTCCATTAAAAATGTTTCTCGTGTTCAGACCCAATGAAAGAATGAACAAGACTACCCCTCCTGTTTCCTATGGTTCCTGAGTCCAGGAGCCAGATCACCAGGTCATGAATATTTTTTCCCTATTGTGTGATGGGACGAGAATAATAAAGCCCATCTGCTGTCATTTGGAAGCCAGTGATGAAGTGTGGGCTATTTTTAAATTAAGTGCAACACATCTAATATATGGGAGCTTCTTTAAGATGTGTGTGACTTCGTGTTTCCAGTGAGAAACACAGTGCAAGGCACTGAGTATTGCAAATGAACAGAATGGAAGCTTGATGTCAGTGACCAAAGCAAGGGCTTTAGAATTAGACAGATGGAAGTTCAAATCTTGGCCTTGACATTTTACCAAGTAGGTGACTGTAACAAGTTACTTAACCTCTTTGAGCCTTCAGATTCTCATCTGAAAATTGGGATAACAGTGCTTTTTTACTGGATTGTTGTGAAGATTTATTTTTATTAGCTGCCGTTGATCAGGGTGATCTCAGGTACAACAGAAGGAAACATTGCCCAGTCATGCGCCATCTTCGAGATCATGGGTATGCTCGAGTGCCTTCCAACCTAGGGGACTCATCTTCCAGCACTGTATCAGACAATGTTCTGCTGTGTTCCATAGAGTTTTCATTGGCTGATTTTTCAGAAGTAGATAGCCAGGCCTTTCTTCCTAGTCTTTCTTAGACTGGAAGCTCCCTGAAACCTGTCCACCACAGTGACCCTGCTTGTATTTGAAATACTGGTGGCATAGCTTCCAGCATCACAGTAACACACACAACACAGTACAACAAACTGACATACGTCGTGAAAATTAGAAATAATGAAAAACCTATAGTAGGTTATGAGCACTCAATAAGCTATTTTTGTGATTGGATGAATGAATCTTTGAAGCCTCACACTGTGGCAGCGAATGGATCTAAAATGACAGGTATCCTTGCCATGAGTCATTGAGATTTGCATGCTATGATAAGACTTATTAATCCGTTATCTTATTTGATCCTTCCATGAATGACCCTTATGGAATGCACAGGGCAGGTAGCAATACCCCCATTTTACAGATAAAAGTTGAGAATTGCTTTTCCCTTTGTTATCTGCCTGTTCCTCTTGGACGTATATTCAAGGCAGAGGGTTTATTTTTTTTCAGCTTTTTCTAACCCTTCAAGGTCTGAAGGTGCTTAGGGGACCAAGGTGGAGTCCCTGGGTGGCACAAATGGTTAAGCAAGTGCTGGACAACTAGCCAGAGACACCTTGGAAGATAAGCCTGGTGATCCGCTTCTGAAAGGTCACAGCCTTGAAAACCCTATGGAGCAGTTCTACTCTGCACACAGGGGGTCACCACGAGTTGGAATTGACTCAACAGCAATTAACAACAACAGGGACCAGAGTTGAGGACTGTTGGGGACAAGATTTGTCTGGGTTGTTTCCTCCCTTCCCCGGAAGGTGGTGTTAGACTCGGGCAGGAGCTGCCTTTGG